TTGTTGATTGCTGAGCCATCTCTGGGGGGGTGAGGGTAGGGGGTGGAGATCAAACCATTTTGGTCAAAGAGGATTGAGGTAGAGGCTGAAGTTTAATTTGGCTTCCATGGCAGGCGGATCTCTGGCCCTCTGTCCACTAAAAGCCTTTAATGACGTTTTTTTCTGAAGGACTTTGGATGTATCATGATGCCTCTGATGAAGGCAGGGTATATTACAATAGCCACTGAAATACTGTTCAGAGATACTGAGCTAAGCTTGCCCTAAGAATGTACCTAGAGAAAAAAGAATGTACCTAGAGAAAAAATTATAGAGTATGAATGGAAAAATGGCACAGTTGGTACAGTTCTTTGGTACAGTTTTGGAGTTCAGTTTAGATGCATTTAGGTTTCAGGGTTTGTTTTTTTTTTAAGATTTAATTATTTTTGAGGGTTGGAGCGATGGTTCAGCTGTTAAGAACATCATTGGCTGCTTTTCCAGAGGTTCAATTCTCAGCACCCACATTGCAGCTCCAGTTCTGGGTTATCTGACACCTTCACAGTCATACATGCAGGCAAAACACCAATGCACATTTTAAAAAGCGCCCCCCCCAAAAAAAAAAAATCTTTGATTTTGTATGTCTCAGCACCATGTGTGTGCAGTACCCACAGAAGCCAAACTGAAGGTAAAGATGGTTGTGAGAAATCATGTAGGTACTTGGAATCCAGCCTGAGCCCTCTGGAAGAGTAGGCAGTTTTTTTGTTTGTTTGTTTGTTTGTTTTTTTAAAGGATCAAGCCATCTCTTTAGCCCCTAAAATTTGGTTCTTTAAGCCTCTGTGTCATAGCTGCTAAAATGGTAGAGGTTGGCAATAAAACCTAGACTAGTTCACTTGAATATTTCTGTTTGTATACTTATTTTTGAGACAGGATTTTATTATGTAGCCCATACTTGGTTCAGTGGTTATCTTCCTGCCTCAGTCTCATGAGTGCTGGAAATAGTTCACTTGTTTGTTTGTTTGTTTGTTTGTTTGTTTTGGGGAAGGATGTCTCTGTAGCCCTGGGTGTCCTAGATCTCCCTATATAGATAAGGCTGGCCTTGAACTCACAGAGATCTGCCTGCCTTTGTCTTCTCAGTGCTGGGACTGAAGGAGTACACCACCACACCTGGCTATTTCTACTTGTTTATTGTGCTTCTGCTGTGACAGAGAATGAATTGACACTGAAAGAACACAGTAGCCGGGAATGGTGGCTCGTGCTTATAATCCTTGCAGTTGGGAAGTTGGGGCAGGTTTTTATCTTTTTTTTTTTTTTGGTTTGGTTTTTTGAGACAGGGTTTCTCTGTGTAGCCCTGGCTGTCCTGGACCTCACTCTGTAGACCAGGCTAGCCTTGAACTCTCGATTATTTTGTTTTGTTTATGACACTATCTGTGTGACTCATTAAATTCATTGTGTGGCACGGACTGACCATATTCCTGCCAGCTGCGCTTTTTTAGCGCAGGAATTATAGGCAATCAGCATCATGACCTACGTTTTCTTTTTTGTTTGCTTGTTTGTTGCTGTTTTTCAAAGACAGATTTTTCTCTGGAGCCTTGGATTTCCTGGAAACTCACTCTGTAGGCCAGCCTTGGCCTCAAACTCAGATCCACTTGCTTCTGCCTCCTGAGTACTGGGAAAAAAGTGTGCCTTTTGTCTTTATATTCATGATAAATGACAAAAATCAAGCCTTAGTTAGGGAACATTAACAAAACTGAAACTAATATTTAGATTTGATGGAAAGACTTCCAAAATATCTTCTATGTTTCTAAAGTTCATACAGTCCCTTCTTTTTCTCTTAAAAATCTGGTAAGTTAAAAAAACGCTGTCTTACTTAGTCACAGTGACATCTACTGGTGAAAGCCATTAGCACCATTTTGCTGATTGCTGAGCTCTAAAGAAAACTACCCATTTCTTTGAGGCAGGTTTTCAATTAAAAAAAAAAAAAAAGTAGTATACTAAAGAGAAAGATACAGTCTAAATGTTTTTAACTACAGAGAAATTACAGAAGATATAAAAGGGAAAGGAGAAAAAAAGTTAAGGTTTTCCATCATGCTTACTAATTCAACTATTGTTTATGTGTACTTGTAGGCCTACCTCTTTCTGTTTACATGTGTGTGAACATGCAGGCGCTTGTAGAAGCCAGAAACTGTTGGATATCCAGGAGTTGAAGTTACAGACTAAGGTTGTTAAGAGACCTACTATAAGAGCTAGGTCCTGGCCACAGTGTACATATATATATTGTAATATATAATATATATGAAGTAAATCTTTTTTTAAAAAAAGTTAGGTCCTGAATTTATCTTTGAAATTTTTTTTGGACTTTTTTTTCCTCAAGATAGGATTTCTCTGTGTAGCCCTGGCTGTCCTGGAACTCAATCTGTAGACCAGGCTAGCCTCAAACATACAGAGATCCAGGCTGGAGAGATGGCTCAGCAGTTAAGAGCACACTGACTGTTCTTCCAGAGGTCCTAAGTTAATTCCCAGCAACCACATGGTGGCTCACAACCATCTGTGATGAGATCTGTTGCCCTCTTCTGATGTGTCTGAAGACAGCTACAGTATACTCACATAAAATAAAAATAAACCTTTAAAAAAAAAAAATCTAAGCCGGGCGGTGGTAGCATACGCCTTTAATCCCAGCACTTGGGAGGCAGAGACAGGCGGATTTCTGAGTTCGAGGCCAGCCTGGTCTACAGAGTGAGCTCCAGGACAGCCAGGACTACACAGAGAAACCCTGTCTCGAAAAACCAAAACAAAAAAAAAATCTATAAAACAAAACAAAAACATACAGAAATCCACCAGCTTCTTTCTCCCTGGTGTTGGGATTAAGCATGCATGTAAAATACATTTAAATCTGTGTATCAGGTGCATGCCTGGTGTCTGCAGAGATCAGAAGATAGGGTCAAATCCCCTGGAACCGAAGTTACAGACAATTGTGAGCAGTCATTACACTTATCCACTGAGCCATCTTTTCAGGCCCCATGCCTAGGTTTTTTCTCCTTAGGATGCCCAAATGTTTTCTTTTTTGCTTCTCAAAAGTCTGTGCTTACTCTACTATATATTCTCATCCATCTTGACATTTGGGGGGTCGGGGTTGGACGAGGAGGTTCTTACTAAGTTGTCCATTCTGTCCTCTGATCTCTCAGGCACCCTTATGTATGTCTGTCTCTGCATGCATCACATGCATGAGTATACGATGCTCAGACATAAGTGCAAGTAAGGCATTCATATACATGAACTAAAAATGTCTTCATCAGATTGCCTGTAGACAAGTCTGCAGGTTATTATCTTAATTAATACTTGATATGGGAGAACCCAAGCACAGTGGGACCTAGGTCTCCAACAGGTCTCAGCTGGGTATGGTGTAAGCAGGATGACCAAGCCTTGAGGATTAGGCCAATCCTGCCTCTTGGTTCTTGCCTTGTTCTGCCCTGACTTCCCTCAGAATGGAGTATGGCCTGAAAGTTGTAAAATAAAGTGAACCCTTTACTTCCGAAGTTACGTTTTTGTTATAGTGTTTTTCACAGCAAGATGACAGGAATCCAGAAGCCTAATTGGAGTTTTTAGAAATATACAGAAACTAGCTTTCTGAATGGAGAATACTTGCCTACTGTGTGGAGGCCCTCAGATCAGTTCTAGAATGGTGTTTTGTTTTTGTTTTACAGTTCTTGACGTTTTCATTTCATCATGCTTTAGTAATTCCCAAGATTTTTTTTTTCTCCACAAAGAATAAGGTTTTGACTCTTAGTGATCTTGGAAGGTTGTGGCTTTAGCCACACTTCTTTACTTAGAAGAAATTGAAAAGATCCATAGCATCCATAGTTGTTTCAGAAATTGATGCTAGAGGCAACAGTTGGGTTTGGCCAAGACTGTCATTACACTGTGCCTCTGGTTTCCTAGTTACTTTCATCACAGGAAGGCCAATCTTTAATTTATCTCATTGCTTAACTACTAGTACCATGTTTTAAGATTAAACTGTTCTTTTCTAAAACTGTTATTAAAAGGGGTGGACAACAGATTCCAGTATGATATTGATGTCATATTGACTTTGTATTTGGCATGGGTATTACTAGTTAGCCCAGGTTATCCTGGAACTACTATGTAAACTTAAACCTGTAGTCCCTTGGCAGTCCCTGAGAGATTTATTTGGGACGTTGAGCCAAAAGACTGCTTGAACCTGTAGTTCAAGGTCATCCTGGGCAAATATAGCAAGGCCTTATGTCAGATTAAAATAAGAGACGGGGCTGGAGAGATGGCTCAGTGGTTAAGACTACTGTCTGTTCTTCCAAATTGTTCTTCCAAATTCCAAACTCTTCCTGAGTTCAATTCTCAGCAACCACATGGTGGCTCACAACCATCTGTAATGGGACCTAGTGCCCTCTTCTGATGTGTCTGAAGACAATGTACTCACATACCATAAAATCTTTAAAGAGAGAGACAGAGACAGAGAGACAGAGAGAGAGATCTCGATCTTGAAGAACTGGTGTGTTATGGGCTAGCAAGATGGCTCAGCAGGTAAAGGTACTTGCTGTCAAAGCTGACACCCTGAGATTGGTTCCTGGAATCCATGTGGTTGAAAGAGAGCTGCTTGTCAGAAGTTGTCCTTTGGCTTAGACATGCATCTTACACACACTACTCATGGAAGAACTGTAATTAAAAGTTTGAAAAGAGAAAGGATGGTGCTATGAGTGTGATGTATCAGATTTTCTTCTTTTAATTTAATGGTTTTTTTCCTAGTTATTTAAGACAGGGCGTGTGTGTGTGTGTGTGTGTGTGTGTGTGTGTGTGTGTGTGTGTGTGTAAGTAACCCTGACTCTCCTAGAGCTTATAGACCAGCCTGGCCTCAAATTCACAAGAGGTCCACCTGCCTCTGCCTTGCAGATGCTGAGATTAATGGCCTGTGCCACCATCACTTGGCTCTGCAGTGAGATTTCTGTAGTTGTTTTGTTCTGCCCATTGCCACCTTTCTTCTTTTCTTTGTATTTCAGGTGATCATGGAGCTCAGCTTGGCCTTCATGGATCTGGTGGTGATGGGATACATGATGAGACAGCAGGTGGAGAAGAAGGAGAGAACAGCCCTGATCCCCAACCCCAGGCTGGTCGCCGGACTCGACGGGAAGCATGTACATGCCCCTATTGTAAAGACAGTGAGGGAAGGTGAGTTTATTTTCTTGAATATAGAATTTTTCTTTCTTTCCTTTTTTATAGAAATAAACAATGAACGTAGAAATATGAGGAAAAGTGTATAGCTTTACTATTTAAGACATGGGAGAAACAGGCAGTGGTGGTGCACGCCTTTAATCCCAGCACTTGGGAGACAGGCAGGCAGATTTCTGAGTTCGAGGCCAGCCTGGTCTACAGAGTGAGTTCCAGGACAGCCCGGGCTATACAGAGAAACCCTGTCTCAAAAACAAAACGAAGCAAAAAAAAAAATAAACAAAAGACATGGGAGAGAGAGCTGAAGAGATGTTCAGTGGTTAAGAGCACTGACTGCTCTTCCAGAGGTCCTGAGTTCAATTCCCTGCAACCACATGGTGGCTCACAATTGTCTGTTGGGATCTCATGTCTTCTTCTGGTGTGTCTGAAGAGAGTGACAGTTGTGGTCACATATGTCTGTAATCCCATCTTTTGTGACGAACGTTTCCCGGGGAGGTGTAACACATACATGTGTCTATTTAACCCCAAATAGGGAGGATATGAAATGAGAGTTTTGTCACCAGATATATATAAAGTTGAGGACATGACCATGACCGCTCTAAGGCGTGGTTGAGGAGAAGATATGAGGTAGAGTACAGCCAGAGGTACTGAAGAGTCCAGAACAAGGAGAGAAAGTAGTAGGCTAAATAATAACCAATAAACTGGACCTGGCCATAACAGGAGAGAGAACAGGGTAGAAAGTGAGAGAGAAATATAAAAAGTGAGAGGCAAGAGAGCAGCTAGATGGCAAGGTTGTATGCGAATGCTAAACTTAGGGAGGGAAGACTAGAAGCTGGAAAAGCTTAGGGTGGGGGGTCAGGGTGAGAAGAGTTAGGATGAACTTTAACAGGTATTTGCAATATGTATTTTTTCTCTTTATTATTTATTTATTATTATTTATATGAGTACACTGTAGCTGTCTTCAGACAGACACACACACCAGAAGAGGGCATCGGATCTCATTACAGATGGTTGTGAGCCACCATGTGGTTGCTGGGAATTGAACTTGGGGACCTTTGGAAGAACAGTCAGTGCTCTTAACCATTGAGCCAACACTCTAGTCCATATTGTTTTTTTCTGTTTTGGTTGGTTTTTGTTTTTGAGACAAGATCTTATAATTCGACCTCTCCTGCTTTAGCCTCCCAAGTGCTGGGATTAAAGACACATGGTCTGCCAAGCTTGGCAGCTTTTATTTTATTTATTATTTGTTTGTTTTTTAAACAGGGTCTGTTTATGTAGCCCTGGTTATTCTGGAACTCATGATGCAAACCAGGCTGTCCTTGAATTCACAGAGACATTCCTGGTGCTTGGATTAAAGGTGTGAGACCACACCCAGGTCCTGTAATCATAACTTTTATTCACCTGATGTAATTGTCCTCTAACCTAGACCTAGGCCTGGAAGCCTACCGCCTCTTGAGATTTACTGCTGAGTAAGCTCTTGTAGCCGGTTCAATAAAGCTACTCTGGCTCAGAACTCCTCTTCAAGCTGACTGATTCAAACAGGCTTCTTTCTGCTTCTCACTTCATTTCCCTGCTTCACATCAAACTAACTCTCGCAATCTGTTCTGATAGTTTGACTCCTTATTTTCTAGCTTCTTCTGTCTTTACCTGTGTCTAGCTTATTATAACTCTCTTCAACCTGTCTTTGTGGGAGCAGGGAACCTCTCCCTGTAAAGCTGTCTCTGAATTCCACTGACTGAACAGAACTGACTAGAACTCAAGAGAGCTGCTTGCTTCTGTCCCCTAAATTAAAGGCATGTCTGTATCCCCAGCCCATATTCCAGTGGAGATGGCATAGTGAGTTCTAGGATTACAGAGACCTAGAAGATCTTTGGATATGATCTCTTGCCAGAGCAACCATGTTCTGAATTATAATTCCACTGTAAGCTCTTTATTTCATTTTTCATAAAATCTCCTAGCTTGGCCTGGAATTTTTTTTTTTTTTTCGAGGCAGGGTTTCTCTGTATAGTTCTGGCTGTCCTGGAACTCACTCTGTAGACCAGGCTGGCCTCGAACTCAGAAATCCGCCTGCCTCTGCCTCTCAAGTGCTGGGATTAAAGGCCTGTGCCACCACCGTCCGGCGAATTTTTGGTTCTTGTAGCAAGAGATTACAATGATGAGCCTCCATGCTTTTCTTTCACCCTTAATATTTAGGCCTGGAGTAGTAGCTCATTTTGTTTATTTTAGTTTTTGAGACAGGGTGGGTATGTATGTATGTATGTATGTATGTATGTATTTATTTTTATGTAGCCCTGGCTATTTTGGAACTTTGAAGATCAGGCTGGCCTTGAACTCAGAGATACACTTGCCTCTGCCTCCTGAGTACTGAATTAAAAGCATATGCCACCACCAGCATATGATAAGTAGCCACCTCTAAAAAAAGCAATTACTTACTGTTCCTCATGCACATAAAAAATGAATTAAAAGAGAGCATAGGCTAGCCGGGCAGTGGTGGTGCACGTCTTTAATCCCAGCACTTGGAAGGCAGAGGTAGGCAGATCTCTTGAGTTGGAGGCCAGCCTGGTCTACAGAGTGAGTTCCAGGACAGCCAGGGCTACACAGAGAAACCCTGTCTCAAAAAAAACAAAAACAAACAAACAAACAAAAAAAAAAAAAAGCAGCATAGGCTAATAGGATATAGCTTTGCAAAAAAATGTGTGTAAGAAAGTCAGTGAAGCCAGATTTGTTGATGACATACATCTGCTGCCACAGTACTTGGAAGATATAAGCAGAAAATTGTAGATTTGAAGCCTAGTCTAAAAGTCAGTTTAACACCAGCATGAGCTAAGTAAAAGAGATTCTGTCTGGAAAAACAAACTATGGAGCCAGGCATGGTGGTGTATATCTGTAATCCCATCACTCAGGAAGCAGAGGGACAAGGATAATCCCAGGTTTGGAGCCAGCCTGGTCTACACATGGAGTTCTATGGTAACTTGGGTTATACAATGAGGCCTTGTTGCAAAAGTAAGTAAATAAACTCACAGACTTGAACTTGATGGTAGAACATTTGCCTACCATTCAGAGTCAATAAGAAGTCAGAGTTAGAAACAAGAGCTGCTGCCGGGCAGTGGTGGCGCACGCTGTTAATCCCAGCACTTGGGAGGCAGAGGCAGGTGGATTTCTGAGTTTGAGGCCAGCCTGGTCTACAGAGTGAGTTCCAGGGCAGCCATGACTACACAGAGAAACCCTGTCTCAAGAAAGAAAGAAAAAGAGAGAGAGAGAAGAGCTGCATAATATCACCTACTATAGATGCACTATATTATCCCTCTACAACATTTCTGATCCCACATTCCAAGTGTTGGGGTTTTGTATAGTAATATCCTTTGAGAATAGAACGTTATATCTCTAGGGAACCAGCAATCGGCTCAATATCTGTCTCAAAAAACAAGACTATGCCTTAAATAAGTTTTACCTTAATAAAAACCACACACAAAAAAATTACCAAAACAAAATAGCTTGTTTTCGGTGATTTGCCCTGTGTTCCAGGAAAAGCAGATTAGGTATTTCTTGATTTTTTTTTTTTTTTTTTTTTTTTTTTTTTTTTTTTTTT